GATATTACAGTCTAAATTTACGAACATGTATGTGCATACTTAGAGTGGTACTTATGCTGGATCATCCATTATGGCACAACCGAGTCGTTTTATCTTTATATTTTTTTTTACTTTCTTTATTCCCCATAACACGTCGGAACTTTTATTCCCCTAACTTCAATCTAATCCTACCTAGAACGACTTAGCCATTAAATGTGAACACGAGATGAAGATTCTCTCGTTAAACTTTCACATGCATGTACATTTATGTATATTATCGTTCAATCGATCGTGAATATCGATATTCCTTAACTTTTTATATTTTTATTTTTATTTACTAACAATAAGCTTATTACTTACATGATAAGATAAAACGTTTACGATCACATACCGTTTATAATATTGATCCTTTTGCATTGGCAGAAATATAAGCAATATTTTTTTCAAGAAACTTCGTTTGCTATCTCGAGAGATCGAGTTTTATGTATATGTTCATGTGAATGAAAGAGAGAGTGTGAATCATTGATGAGTGACGTTGAGAGAGTGATTCGAATATTTACATTGGTTTTTCCGCATCGTTATATGTTCTTTTAATAAATATTCTTTATATTCATTAAACAAAATAAAATAACATAAGTTTTTATTCATAATCCTACAAACGTGTATATATGCATGTAAGTACTTATATCCATATCAAGATATGTATATATAAGGTATTTCAAAATATGTGTACATAATTCCAGGAATATTTTTAGAATGCTACAATTTCATGATTTTCATAAAAACTGTTTAAAATGTCCCTTGAATTTAAAATTCAATGCAAGTTCTAAAAGTTTTATCATAGATCTTCCCATTCTCTCAAAAATATCAGGTGTTGTTTGAATTTGCTGACAATTGTCTGATGTTAAATATGGTAACGTAGTTTCTCGTCGTTGTTTGTTAGTGTGTTGTAAAATCAAAATTTCAGGTGTCTCCACAAATAGAAATTCAATAAATTTAGATTAGGCGATCATGCTGACCAATTAATTGGTTTTCCAATTCATTTATTTGAAAATTTCTCATTTAACAATTATCTCGCTATATAGATAACTAAAACGTAGTAGTGTACCATTATTGGAAAACAAAATAAGCTATAATTTTGATATATGATTATGAGCTATTTTTTTTATTGTAGTGTAATAAAAACAGTTCTAAAAATAACTATTATTTGGAAAAAACGTTTTATCAGGTATATGATTATATGAGTTTTTATTTTTATTTTGGTGTACTAAAAGTAGCCCTGACGTTATGCCTACATAGTTTGATACAACCTGTATATGCCTATCTACTCAAATAACACTGATCGGTCTTTGTGTCACGTGGATGTTATGCGCTTTTCTCAGAAAGGCTAGAGCATCAAGTCAGTACAATAAAGAGAATCCGTTCTCGCGCGTCCTAAGTCGAAGCATCATTCACTCTGGACGTTTCTAACGTCTCAGATAGCACTTGGCGCTCTAGCCACCATAAAAGGTGACGTACGAAATACGCCTATGTATATATGTATTTCAAATAAAATGGATGGGTTATATACATGATAAGTACAGTATGTCGCAGAAATATTCTTAGACTATTCCTAAGTGATAAATGATAAGAAATTGATAAATAAATTGATTAAATAATTAAATTAATTTATTCGAAATTTTGTAGGAAGGAATCGAACTAGCAACTCGAGACAATTATGATAAAATTGATTTATTCGAATATTTTCAATTATCTTTACATCGCAAAAAATAAAATTGTTTAATGTTAAAAAGAAATATAAATCATCAAAGATAATAAAGAAATTTAATTGACTAATCTGTTTCTAGTGTATATAGATCGAGTATTTACAAAATTATGAATATTTAATAAATTGTTAGACTATTTTGACAGAATATTAAATTAGATAGAATAAGAGAGAGAGAGAGAGAGAGAGAAATTTCGTTTAAATATTTAGTCTAATATTTACTATATACTATACGAGAATAGAAGTAGTGCGAAACCAATAATCTATCCTTAATTAATTCAGGTAAAAAGTATATATAATCAGCACATATCCGTTCTCATAAGTTTCAATTGCAGAAACATTCCACTGACTAGACCAATTTCTCTATATCCTATAATCCATACCCATAACATGACTCCACCTTTCCGGTCATCCACCTCTTTTTCTTCCTCTCTCTCTCTCTCTCTTTATCTCTTCCTTCAGAAAGGAAGAAAAAAAATATGAAAAGACACAAAAATCTAAAGAGCAGCAGCATCCACCTTGTCGGTACATCCTTGTTGAAGTTCACCGACCCCTATACATCTCAGATATATATATATATATTTCCTTCCTGCACCCTTTCTATGCATGCATTGTGTATCGAGTTTAGCATGCATGCACGCGCGCAACCGTAGAAATTCTACGGGTATATAATTCGATCGGCATTGTTCGCCAATCGCTACCAAGCCAGACGTCGGCCGCTTATTGCCATAATTGATTCACTTAATCGTGGGAGTGATGGACACCTCCTTGCCTCTATATGCTCTCTCTATTGCTACTGTCGCTACTAGCAACATGCTAATCGTAGGGTTTGCATCCTGACTGACGTTGAAAGGGGAAAAGACCCCCTTGTTTATCTCATAATTCGTATCCTATCATCGACTTATTGTCTTTCCCAAAATTAAGTAAATCATTCTTGAAAGATTTCGATTAAAATAAGTACTTTTGTTATATATCATCAAATAAGCTTGCGTGTGCGTGTGAATTTTTTAGAACTATAATTATAAAAAAAAATGATTTAAATTAATGTTTAGTGTTGGAAATAATTATTAGAAAAAGAAGTTAGAAACGCTGTTTGGAAGAATGAGAGTTTTAAAATTAATAATTTGATCGAATTTAATTTGCCTATAAAATTATCTAATAGTTTTCTAAACAACGAGTATTCCTGATATGTTAAATTTATATATAATAGAATAGGATTAGATATCTTACTAATTCAAATGAACGAGTTTAGTATAGAAATTTTCTAGTCGAGGGTATATGCTAACTATTTTTCTGGAAATCCCGTAGTACACGTATCTAATACTAAAACATTAATTTACAACATACTTATCTTCTACCCTAACATCCAAACGTGATAAGACTCTTCTCTGAATGACTATTTCACGACCTACCAATCTTAACGAGTTTCTCTCGAGAAAATGTACGCAAATAAAGATGTTGTTATCTTCCTAGCAATAAAATTACTAGGGATACCATAGTCTGCTTGGTTAATAATTTATTATCACTTAGAACTTTAGACAGAACAATTCGACAATCTCAAAAAAAAAATATCTAATAAGTTGTAATTTTTCAAATGGGGAGCTAATTTACCAAAAGCACACATATTTTATGTAACAACAGCAAATAAATGATAACAATGAATATGAATCCCAATATTTTATATATATATATATGAATCCCAGATATTCTTTCGTACTAAAAAAAAAATAGTTATCATAATAATAATGTATCTAGTTTAAATTTCTTTACGTCCTCTTCAAAGTACCATTAACTCGGTATCTACTGTTAAAAGGTTAATGAAATTTTAGTATTGGTTTTTATCAGAACTAGTGAATGTCAGCAAGATTAGAAAAATATCAAATCAATTACAATATTATCTTTGATCAGATATAATGTTCAATGTTAAATAGCAATAAAATCACTTTTTCCTTCAAGATTTATCTTAACTGTACTTATCAATTTTATAATTTCTTATATATTAGATGGTCAGTAAAATATATATATATATATATATATCTGTGCATATATAGGGAACATAATAAATCCTGTGTGCTGTTGACCTGATGATCACTGGACCGAGACCAAACGTACCGGACCTAGACGGTAGATCTCTACTCGATCGGTCAGCCGGAAGCAATTAAAGTTTCGACGGAATCTCGCGAATAAATATTGCGATCTGACTTAGACGGTGCCACGTCATTGGGGTGAATGTCTCTTAGTCGTGTTCTTGACTATTACTCCTGAAGTTCACACTTAATTGCTGTTAAAAAGAAAAATAAAAGTTCTTCGTTTCATCTATAGAATTTCAAGTGAAATAAAATGAATCATTATAATCATTTTATCGATCATTATAAGATCTATATGTGCCATTATATTATATTCAAGATTTCTATTTTGTCAACATCGTAAAATAAAACAGAACATTTAATTATAATTACCATTGATTATAAATCAATTATTATGAAATATAATTATAACAGATCTTCACAATTTTTAATGTAACATTATTCAATGATTATCATTTATTTATAATCGTTTTATCAAAAGAACTTATCGATATCGAACGTTTATTTAAATGAAAATGAAATAATACTCGATGGTATGTAGAACATGGAAAAAGGAAAAAGAAAAATAACGTTCGCCATAAAGGATGACTCTCTTCGTTTATTATTATTCGAGCCAACAATTTTTTGTTTCCTCGACTTTACTCATTACTTCCTTTGCGGTAAGTATTATTATGGGCGTTGGCGATATTATTACTATTATGTCATTACGATAATGCGGGCGTACCTGGTCGAAGAGAAAGGGGGAGAGATAAAGATAGAGATGGATAAAGAGAGAGGGAGAGAAAGGGAGGGCGAGATAAGGTAGAGGGCGATTTTGATGGGTAATAATAAAACAGGGTAACGGTCGTCTCGTTTCAGATGCATCTTGAGTTAATTGCCTTTCTATGTGTATATGCATATATATATGTGTGTGTGTAACGTGAATACCGCTCCGTTTCTCAGTCCCCACATGAAAAATCGAATTGCACTGATATTTACGACTGAAATTCTCAACAAGAGATCCCACTTACGGGTACAAGAGTATACTGTATAATCGACTTTGTAAGAGACTTTCTTGAGTTACAATTTATTACTCTTTCGTATCATAATAATTGCGGAATCGATGTTTTTTTTTTTTTATTTATTTTTATTTTATCTCATCTTATTTTTGTTTCGTATTTTTTTTGCAGATTATGTGTCCGGCGCGTGTCCCCGGATATGCCCACCAAGTGGGGAACCGGTATGCGGTAGCGACGGTATCATATATGCTTCCCAGTGTGAAATGCGGAAGAAGATGTGTGGAAAGGGTAAGGAGCTGTTAATTACCTTCATTATTGCTCGTTTCTCACAAGTTTGTTACCACGTATACGTTACATTTTCATTACTTGCGATCGTTTTCGTACTTATATTCTGCTACTTTATTAAAAGCTCATTCTCTAATCAATTAGTTCTCCAAGAGTTAATTTTCTGATAAATGTATATATAGTGAAATTATCATTGGTAATTCTATATTTTGCAATCCTAAGTTTATGAATATGACATTGTATTAATTATAGATAGTCTATTTCATTAAATGAAAATAACTAGAAAATTTATTTACAAGTTTAGAAATTTAGATGTTTTGAATTAAAAATTATTATTAAATAATTGAATAATAAATATATTGCAAAATAAAATATTTTTTGTAAAATTTGAAAATATCAAAAATACATAAATAATAATAATACAAATAAGATGTTTCAAAACAATGAGAATGAACAAGACATAATATATTTTAAGAAAATATATGCACAATTTGTAGTTATCTAATCGTGATCACTAAGTTGATCGTTAATCCATCTAACAGTGACAATTCTGTTCAGGCGTGACGGTAGCAACAGAAAAAACCGCTTGCCTAAGATCATCTGGTAGCAAGTGCGAGCATCGTTGTTCCGGAGATCAAGATCCGGTATGCGGTACCGACGGTCGAACTTATCTCAACAAGTGCATGCTCAGAGTAGAAATCTGCAGGGTGGGAATCGAGCTCTCTCATCTTGGACCGTGCAACAATATTTCTGCACACAGAGAAAACTGTCCGGTTTCGTGTGACTTTGCACCACTCGATGGTCCTGTATGCGGTAGCGACGGCAACGTTTACAAGTCCACATGTCAAATGAAGCTACTCACTTGCGGGTATATACACACAAATTAAATTTATCTATTATGTTAAGATATTAAAATAATAATCTAAATTTATTTTTCATATTATTTTTTAATATTTATTATAAATTTATATTAATAATAGGGATTTATTTGAAAATATTTTTTTCTAATGTAACATATTAAATAATTATTTTTCTTTTTCATATAAATAATTATTTAAAGAAGATAAATACGTTTATTACCATCTTTAATAGAAGTCATTCTAGCGATAAAGGTTGAAGATTTTCGTTTTATAAAATGGGTGTAGGTATATGTACATATGTGTATTATTAGCCGGAGGAAGTACATTCCAAAGATAACACTTTACGAAGTACCGGTACTAGTTTTCTACAGAAGGCAAAACCTAGAGAAACCTTGCACAACTCGTTGCAATAATAGATATAACGAATACAAGAGAGAAAAAGATAGAGAGAGAGAGAGAGAGAGAGATATTTAGTGAGTGATAGAAAGAGAAAGAGATAGAAAGCAAAGAGTTATTCGATGGGTTTGCAACGAAGAGTCGCGCTAATCGAATCTGATTTTTATCTTTTTTCTTAATTTTATTTTCAACAGGCAAGGAGTCGTGCGTACGAACAAGAAACATTGTCAGACCACAAGACATTGTCGTGAATCGTGCTGGCGTGGTGCAAAGCCAGCCTGTGGTAGCGACGGTATCCTCTATGCGAACACCTGCAAAATGCGAGCTAAGAATTGCGGGTAAGAACGGAATCCTAGTTTCTACTACGATTACAACTATTACGGTATATTACTTACCTACCTACCTACCTACCTACCTACCAACCTAACTATCTATCTAGTATGCATATAATATCTACGTAATATCGCAATTTACATTTCGCCTGAAGCAAAACGTAAAATCTCTTGGGCCCTTCGAACTACCTCATTCCATTTTCCTTGTCTTCCTTTCCTTCTTTTTCTCCTTTATGTTTTCTCTCTTTTTCTTTCTCTTCCCTTCCTTGTTCGCAAACGTGCTTCGTTATTAACGAGCCACTTCGTGTACCTACTACGTTAACGTTGCAAGCACATATGTTCTTTCAGAACGTTCGTTAGTCCTTTTATCCATTTCTCATAAAGTTTCGTTTCTTTATTAGGACGAAGGATCTACGAAATATCTTTAAACAATATCTTTTACGAATATATTCTTAGATACATTTTTCCATTATTTTATTATTTATTGTATACACATCATTGATTCATCGTTATTAGTTTATCATATTTTTTAAACAAATACTTGTTATAAGATTATTCTAAAATTTAATTATAATATACTACAGTTATTAAATTTTTAGCGTGTAATTTATTTATTTATTTATTTTTTACTTTCCAGAACTTTAGTATAATATTTTTTTGACATTTATTGATATATCGTACATTTAATGTTTAATAAACATTCAATAAAATTTAAATAATTAGTGGTAAACATTAAGTTATATTTTTTTTTCTTTGCAAGTATTTGTGTTTACATTCAATAACTCGTTTGAACTATTTTTGTAGAAAGCACGTGTTCGAGGTGCCAATGTCATTCTGTGTGTCGCGAGAACGAACATCCGGAAGTCAGTTGAACGCGTGTCCACTCGACTGTAGGCACGAGCCGGAAGTGCCGACCTGTGGATCAGACGGAAATATCTATAGGAATGAATGCGAAATGCAAATGCTCAACTGCGGGTGAGTAGCTTTTAATTTCAATCATAAGAAAAGTCATTTTTAAAATCAACAAAAAGGATTAAAAGTCAAGATTCAATAATATTGAAATATTATTATTTTAATTTTTAGAATTTTGAAAGATAAGCTATTTATTATTATTTTTTTTTTATAATTTGTTTAGATTATTTAAATATTTTTACGAGCCAAAGATATTAAACATCATGTTATTTATTTCGTGACCTTTTATTCGAAATTATTATTTCTGAAAATTTCGATAAGGAACATATTTGTATAAATATCTAATAATTTTCATTAATTTTCTTTTTATATATGTTTTAAATTAAAACATGGAAGTATCGAGTTGATTCATAATCGTCAATTTAAATAATAAAGTTATTACACTCGGTAAAGCAGAACATATTTATGAATCAATCTAATAAATATGATTTTTCATAATTAAAATTCCTGGTTTTACCATTTTATATAGCTATTAAATTGCTTCATAAATAAGAACCGTTTTCTTAAAATACATTCAACTTAAAATAGTAGTTATTTATAAATAAACTCTATATTTCTGTTTTTCATGATCATTATTATAAACTTAAAGTTAATGAAGATAAGCATTTGTATTTATAAAATTCTATTATATAGAATTTTATTTATACCTATTTATTTATTATCAATTTATTAAAGAAAAAAAACTAGAACTAGAATAATTACAAATGTTCGCATGAGTTAATTGAAATAATTTTTAAAAATTGAATCTTTACTTCCTTAATCTTAACAATTATCAAACAGTCTTCTCCATTGAGATTAATACAGTCAATTTTATAGATTTGAAAATTCTTTTTATAAATTTAATACACAATTCTTTTAAAAAATGATTCGAGTAAATTTAATTAGCAACATAAGCTAGATTATTTTTTATAAGAATGACAAATGCGACACATACACACATACACATACATGCACAAATAAAGAATCAGGTGAACATTTATGAAACATTTTATCGAAGAGGTGCTAAATACGTACCTACAGTTCAGTGTACAATAACTGTTCAAAACGAGCCTTCTTCCGCTTGGACAGACACTCTAAACCGTTTTGACGTTGAACGTTAACGCTTTGATGCAACGTACGGGTATACACACCGGTTGAACTCTTTGCTAACACATTACGATGATGCTGGTTGAAGGTCAAACGTGTCCACTCAACTTGAAGATGAGCCATGTTCTAACGTTCCATGTTGAATGAACGAAATAAAATATTTCAAGTAACTTACTGTTTACTTTGATCTTCTCTTCATCCAACGTCGAGATTAGATGGACCTGAGATAACAAATTTATATAATATATCAATTTCTATATATGATAAGAAATCAAACAAAATATCATTTTCATAACAAAATATTAAATGAAGGAGAAAATTATATAATTAAAAGAAAAAGAAAAATAGGAGATAAATTAGGAAACAAAAAGGGTCTATATTAAATCAGTTGAACGGTTCAACAGGCAAGCTAGAAGGAAAGTGACCGTGGTGGACTTCGAGAAGTGTCGGCCACGTTTAACCAAGTGCATGAAGCAACAGCAACGATGTGGAAACGAAGTAGATCCGGTCTGTGGAAGCGACGCAAGTACATATCCAAATCAATGTCACCTGAACGTGGCGATCTGTCTGTGAGTAGTCCCGTCTCGTTAAAATGAAAATAAACATACATTTTAATAATTAAGATTCATATCGATTTATATTTGCTAAATAAGCTTATCGAACAAAATAAAAGAGATGTTATCATAAATTAATCTTAATTATTGATGATAATCCTTTTTTAGAAAAGGTATTCAATTGGCTCACGTCGGAGAATGTACAACCTTGAAAGAAACTGAAGAGTGTCCTGATGATTGCAACGAAGTGCCAGAGGAACCTGTTTGTGGAAGCGACGGCAACGTTTATCGGTGATTACTAATGTTATTTCAATTCTCTAGAAATATTTCAAATGAATTCTCGTAGAGAGGATCTCGTTTGATCCATTTAAGACGAGATTTTTATTTCTTTTTCTATTTTTAAAGAAGAAAAGATAATACTATCGTTTTTGCATACATATTTGTTATATTAGGTGTATGTATTAAAGTATGGTAATAATTTATTTATTATTTCTATACTCAAAAATATACTTTTATCGTATATTTATGTTTATATACAGTATTATATTATTTAATACTAATTTATCGATGTATAACTTTCCACGTTAATTATAAAAGTATGAAAAGATCATTCAGTATGTAATATAAAAATCAATTGTAAAATATTGATAAATCGATCGATTTTGAAAAATATAATTTAGGGTTTATAAGATTGAATTTGAACAGCTGATTCTTTCTATTTAGCTCGCTATGTCATCTTCGCCACGAAACATGCGGTCAGAGGGTAGTTCAGGTTCCTGCTCAGCATTGTCGTACTACAGCGCTTTGTAATCAAATCTGTAGTGGAGAACGTCAATTCGTTTGTGGTTCGGATAACAAGCTTTATCGTAACGAGTGCGAAATGAAAAGGGACAATTGCGGGTAAGTTAATCCTTTAACATAGTTTAGAAATATTATTATTTTGATTATTTATTATAATTGTTTACATTCATTTTTTAGAGTAATAACTAGGCATTAATGTTAACTGTGTGAATTACATTAATAATTTCTTTTATCAACAATTTTTCATTTCATATTTATAATTTATTAAAATAATTTATCTGTCAGGTATTTTATGTTTTGACACAAAAATGAATTTACTAATATATTTGAAATTTTATATATCTTTTTTAGAAAACATGTGTACGTGGTACCAATGAAACGATGCGTTCAAGGTTTCTTGTTCCGTGGTTGTCAAAAGATCTGCCCACCATATTACGATCCAGTTTGTGGTACCGACGCAATGACATATAGCAACGAATGTTTCTTGGAAATAGAAAATTGTCGTAGCAGAAGCCTCGTTTCTAAAAAGTATCACGGCGTTTGTGGTCAGCCAACGGAAGAACCGAAAAATTATTTGTATTAATTCGACGATCAAAATGATTCAAGGAAAAAAAACAAAAAACAAAAAATGAAAAATAATAATAGTTATAAAAATATGTTCCAGGTTACATCGAACGAGATCGATCGGCGAAACGATACTAAATGAAAAAATCGTTCTTGAAATCTTTACAATACGATACGTTTCGTCGATCGATCTTAAATATATGCGAATTATCGCGCCTCGTCTTTCGAAAAATGTTGCTTCGAGTAATTCGACGATGTGTATAACGCGTATATTAATCTTTAAGAAAATTTCAAGGCACCAAGTGTCATATTTAATAACGAAAATCAACAATTTACTCGTGTGCGACGAAATCGGTCGATTTAATTATTCGATGTCGTTCGATGAATTTCCAAAAAGAAAATCTTTATCGATTAATACTAATACGAGCTTGCCAAGAGAAGACGATCAATTCCATAATATTTATAATCTTGCCAAGTTTATAGATACATATTATCGTTGAAAGCTGGTAGATAATCGACTTCGAATAGGATTGCTATATTATAATAATTATCCTACGTCGAATCTATCGTTTAAACGATTTGTTACGAGCGCATCCGTGAATCCGTGAAATTAATAAACCCTTAATGCGTGTATATGATTGCAAAATTAAAATATATTCTAATCAATGTGCACAATTATAGTTTTGTATTTAAATTAATATTTTTCAAAAAGTATTGTAATTACGATGAGATATAACATTTTCAATATTTTTTTTTGTAATAGATAAATATTATATGATATAATAGTAAACTATATATATATAACCATCTCTAAACAAAAAAATGATAAAGAAAAAATCATGCATTTAAGAGGTTACAAAAAATTTATCGATTGTTTTGAAAGACTATCGTTATTATGCTTGTCGATGTTAAAAATGTAATTAAAATAAGATAGAAATAATTCGTCATCTTGGGTGATTCACGAACGCGATCAAATATCAAAAAGTATCTTTCGTCATTCTCTTTCCCTACTCCGTCTTACCCCTCATATTTATTTCACACGTATCGTGCTTCAGCGTTATTCAGATCTCTCGCGACGAACAATCACGACGTGCCAAGATTGACGAAGAATCGTGCGAGGAAGGATCAAGAATCGCATATAAATACGTAGGCTTCTAAACCGATTTCGCATTAGCGAAAAACATAGAATCATTATATTATTTATATTAGATTCTTTTAGCGTTCTTTTAATTATAGAAAATCATTATTATTTATTCTACCGAAGATATTTTTCTCTGCCACTCTTTATAAGTTTCTTTATACATGATTTTTTTTCCTATGTATGCATATACACATACATATATACTTTTAGGTACATACATTTATACATACATATATACATACATAGATACATAATACATAGCTATATGTCTCTTGTTCTAAACAAAAAAAGTTCTTTCTTTCTAATCGATCTAATAACGTAAACAGTTAATATGTTTTCCGAAGTAACGAGAAATAATAAAATAAATTTTTCAGTTAACATAACTTTCTGATGATAATGCGATGTGTGTTCATACTATATAATTAATATTATATAATATTATTATTAATCATTATCGTGTCTTTAATTTATTTTATCGAACATGCGAAGATCCTTTTTTGTATCGAAACTAACATTGTACACGCTTGTCAATAATAAACCATATACGTATATTTTAAGATACTAAGGGATTTCCATAAAGGCTATATTCTATAGGAAGTTATAAGCTTCTAAATACTTACTCGCTAATTATCCGTTAACGTCTATCTTATATTCTTAAATTACTTTAGAAATAATCAGAAAATTGTGTGTCAAAAAGGTATTAAACATATATACTTTAAATACATAAGTATCAATTTAAATGAAGAAACTTGATATTCGATATGTAAGGAATTCCTTTTAATCGTCTTTATCGATTAGGAAATGGCGAGTTAAACTATGAGTAAAATCTTTCAAATAAAACTAAATTCGATTATAATTTTTTATTCCATAAAAATGATTACGACGACTTATATTTTTTTTTAAATTCTTTAACAAATTAAATTACATTAATCTTTAAAAAAATAAACGTAATATCGATAAAGAAAATTGGCGGAAGTCGTTCAAACATGATACTTACTTCGCTTGTAAGTTGATAGACAGCGCCACGTATGTCGGCTAGCTAAGACGTTACAGGTGGCGTCTCGGTGCACCTATATTGACAGGTGCCGAAAAAACATGGCGCTCAGTGTTTACGACAACTGATCACTGCCGATCGAAATCGCGCAATCGTCGTATATTCTTCGTTACTTTTAACGCGTTTCGTTTAACCAATTGGTGCTTAAATGTCAATTCTTAATTATTCGTAATAATAATAGATTCATTAACGAGACTGTTTAAAAAGGTGCCGAAAGATAATTTCATACGATACGCGTGGCTCTCTTCTTGAAAACGGCGAGATCAGGTGGTGCGAGGATATCATCGACGAATCAAAAGGAAAGAAGAAAGAAAAAGATCTTTCGAGAGAGAAAGAGAGAGAAAAAATAAGAAAGAAAGAGTTGTTAATTCAACGCTGAACATCAAGAACAATTGACGAGTTATCGTAAGTAATAATTATAAGTACAATATATTCTTGTCATTTTGTGTTTCTATTTGTCAAATTTATTGTCGATAAAGTGTCGTTGATATATATTGTCTATATAAAAGGAAGGGGTTTAACATGAGCGTAGCAAGAACGGCGGGAGAGGCCATCTTTAAGTGTCCCCGTAGTAAGAACGAAACCCGTGCCGGCAAAAGAGAAGACGAGAGTGAGAGAGAGAAAAGTGAGAGATTACGCGAATCGTGTTACATAAAACGTTGTTGCTTCGGCCTTCTCGTTACATCGTTCGACGTTCGGCCAACGAACGTTTGTCGTTTTATATTTCTCAAGGACAAGTTTCTCTCTTTTTCTCTTTTTCTCTTTCGTTATCTTCCTGTGTGATTTTTGATGTTATTTACCTGGAACCAAATGAACATCTGCAAACTTTCTTGTGTTCCTGTTTCTCAAGTATGTATATCTATGCGTTAGTATATGCAATATTTTCTTTCATAATCTGTGCTAAATATTTATCTTTTCCTTCGTGTTAAATGATTATTTACATTTTACATTAAGATTAAATGATCGATACTTTTTGATATGACAAATTATGATCATATCAAACATATACGGTTTATATTAATCCATTTTATTTGGACCCAATTTTACTCCTCGAAATGGCGCGAATATTGATTTCGAAGGAGACCAATGACCTTTTTATTATGTATGCTACTTTTGAGAGTCGATGAACTACGTATATATATATAGGTATATAATATTTTAAGATACTTCTTCGGTAAGAATATAAATATTTCTTTTCTCGTCTTACAATAAGATTTAAATTTATTCTTCGAGAAATCGATACTTTCTATGGCCGCATTGCGCGATTCTTAACTCATCGAGCGTACTCAATGGCGCGTATTTTGAATTTTATGGAATGCCGATTAATTTTTATAAATTTAACCTTCTATATATACTTGCATGACTTTAACCTTTTGCACTCGAAGTTTTGATTACTCATATTACTAGTTACTCGAAGGGATTTCAATTAAAAAAACATATTCACATCTATGCAAATGAGGTGTATGTAACAAGAAAGTATTTGTTTCTTATTGTTTTTAAAATAATAGATGTAGGTTTCAAGTATCAAGAAAAATGCATTTACTATGAAATAAGTTAAAGATTATATTTTAAAATGCTAGTTAATTAGTTATGTTACTATGTGTTGTTATGTTTATTATTATAGAAACTTCTCTCTTATATTAGAAAAAAAAACTATTTCATACATGTATCCAGCTAGAACAAATTATACAGTTACATACACAATACTTTCCTGGAAAGATTTAATTTGCAATTTGTTAGAAGAATAAATGAAGTTTAATAGAGTAGAATAAATAAAGATTTATTTTTGTCATTATATTATGAACTGGAAATTATTTGTATTTAAATAAAGATTCCTTCGAGGTAGAACCCTCGAATGCAAATGGTTCAAATTTCTATGTCGGTATTTTTCTGTGTTCAATTTAATTTCAGCCCCGTTTTTCTACCCTCGCCCTAATTTAGCGTACACATCTTGTGTTGTAATTTCTTTTTGGTAATCAATAAGATTCTTTGTAAGTTTTGTCAACTCTACTTGTAAATATCGGAGTAAATCTAATACCTTTGACAATTTTTCATTTATTATTATATTTACAGATCGATATTGAGTATTAATACGTGCTATTTATATTGATGTAAAAAACAATTTTTTATTAAAAAGACTATAAAGAACATAACACGACGATTTATCTAATTATCATTAAGGACAGTTTTGATAAATTCGAACTATCTCAAATGTCCTTGATTATATATACGTTGAAGTTGAAGATAAACGTGGATAATAGAAGTAGCTCAAATTCCTCGCTTGATCGATTTAATTTATTGTGCTCATCGAAGGATGCTGCCAAGGAGTTACGAATCAGCGATTCTTTGCTTTTATATATCAATAGAAAAAGAAAAAATATATCAATGAAAGATATTATTGAGGACCTGCTTGAGGACTGTTAAACAACGATTGCTTATTATTTAATGTTTTAAATTTATTTGTGAAAACATAATTTATATTTATATATTATTATATTATCATAATATACTTATACTAATATAATTTATATTTGTGTGTGTGTGTGATGTAAATTATATATATTTTTAGTTAAAAACAATTAGAGAAACAAAAAAGATTATGCAAGATAGTTAAAAATTTAGATATCTGTAAGAAAGAAAAAAAAATAGATAAAATAATAGTAAAAATATTTTCATATTTATAATTATTATAACATTATATTCATTATAATATGATTATTATTATTATTATACTAGTCCAATACAAATTGGATCAATGGACGAAAAATATCTCGTACCATTTCTACCAATCAAAAATATTTGCAAGTCAGTTAACTTGAAGATACTTTTTATCTGATTTAATCTTCCTTTTTTACT